CCGGTCAAGGGCATGTACCTTGGTTGTGGGCACATCCCCAGTAGGGGGTGTGTAGGAGGTAGCTGATCGATGATTCTCTCTCATCGATGTTTCTAACTCTCTGTCCCTCTCTCTTCCTCTCTGTAAAAAAATCAATAAAATATATTTTAAAAAAAGAAAAACTATTTCCCTGCTGTACTGTTTTCCAGTTTTGCCCAATCATATGAATCATCTGAGACATTTGTTAAATATTAGCAGTCCCAGTTGTCTTCCTAGATTTAAAGAACCAAATCTCACCGGGACCGGTTTGGCTCAGTGGATAGAGCGTCGCCTGCGGACTGAAAGGTCCCGGGTTCGATTCCTGGCAAGGGCATGTACCTTGGTTGCGGGCACATCCCCAATAGGGGGTGTGCAAGAGGCAGCTGATCGATGATTCTCTCTCATCGATGTTTCTAACTCTCTATCTCTCTCTTCCTCTCTGTGAAAAATCAATAAAATATATTAAAAAAAAAAAAAAGAACCAAATCTCCACAGCAAGTGGGTGGAAAATCTGCCTATTTAAGAAGCACCTCAGGTGAGTCTTAAAATGAGACAACTTTTAGGAAATATTGCACCATTCTCTTCCCAACATCTTCATTATTGACGGCAGGCTAGTTGAGGCATTAGTTGGTGGCGAAGTCATTATTCAACTCAATTCAATCCAAAAGGTTTGAAGCACACACCTTAAAACTTCCCCTGGGAAATTACTTTTTAATGTGAGATTTTGCATGCAGAAATGACTTTAAATTTTAAAAGAATAAAGACAAATTAGTTAATTATTTGACAAGGTACTATTCTTAATACTTTTTTTATTAAATTATTATCTGTGTACATATTTTAACATTGCCCGCCCCTCTCCCATAAATACCCTCCCTCCCCAGAGTTTTGTGTCCATTGGTTGTACTTATATGCATATATACAAGTCCTTCAGTTGATCTCTTATCTCCCCCAGATCTCCCTCCCCTCCCCGCTGTAATTTGACAGTCTGCTTGTTGCTTTACTGTCTCTATATCTGTCTTTTGGTTCATCAGTTTATAATGTTCTTTAATATTCATAAATGAGTGAGGTCATGTGGTATTTCTCTTTCACTGACTGGCTTATTTCACTCAGCATGATGTTCTCTAATTCCATTCAGGTTGCTGCAAATGATGAGAATTCCTTTTTTATGGCAGCATAGTATTCCATTGTGTAGATGTACCATTGATTTTTGATCCAATCATCTGCTGACGGGCACCTAGGCTGTTTCCAAATCCTAGCTATTGTAGATTGTGCTGCTATGAACATAGGGGTGCATATATCCTTTCTGATTGGTGTTTCTAGTTTCTTGGGATATATTCCTAGGAGTGGGATTACTGGGTCAAATGGGAGTTCCATTTTCAGTTTTTTGAGGAAACTCCATACTGTCCTCCACAATGGTTGCACCAGTCTGCATTCCCACCAGCAGTGCAGGAGGGTTCCTTTTTCTCCGCAACCTCGCCAACACTTGTCATTTGTTGATTTGTTGATGTTGGCTATTCTGACAAGTGTGAGATGGTACCACATTGTTGTTTTGATTTTCATCTCTCTATTCTTAATTTTTAAAAAATTGATCTGAGAGAGAGAAAAAATGATTTATTGTTCCACTTATTCTGCATTCATTGTTTGACCCTTGTATGTCGCCCTGACTAGGGATCAAACCTGCAATCTTGGTGTATCAGGCAAGGCTCCTACCAACTGAGCTACCAAGGTACCAAGGTACTGTTCTTATATGGGGGGACTTTTTTCCCACGTCACTCTAATAAATTTCATGCAGTTTTGCAGGAAGTTACACTCTACAGTTGGGTTGAGTAAGTGAATTCCGCATTGGCAGCTGACTCCTCAAACCAAGTGTTCAGAGAGACCTATGTCAGCGGACTGGCAAGAACCAGTTTTTCTTGATTGTCTTGTACCCAGGATAAAAGCTTTGTAAATATAATTTCACTTCCTCATCAATTGTAAGAGGACAAATAGATTCAAGGAGGGGTTCAAAGGATAATCTTAGAGTGAGAACCAGAAAGTGGTTTATGGGAATCACAGTGGAGAAGTGAAACACACCCTCAAATTCCTACTTTTTATCTTTGGGTAAAACAGGAAGAAGGCTCTGACAGTATTAAATGGTAATTTCCTGTCTGCAGCACCTCAGTGATTCTTTTTTTTTTTTTTCCTTTCTTCTTTTTTTTTCTTCTTTTTTTTCTGGCCAGAGAAAGAAAGAAATCACTAAATTACGAGTGAGTGGAGGTAGAGATGAAATCTTACTAGTTTTTACTTGCTAACTGCTTAATGCCTGCCTGGCTCATAATAAATGCTCAATAATAGTAGTGATCGCTTGTCTAGAGCTCAATGTTAAAAAGTATAAAAATATTAATAATTCTATGTAGACATTTCTTTAATGTAGCTTGTGTTCAATGAGACTCATACTAAAACTTTATAAAAACTTCTAAGAAAAACTAAGTTCTGCCAGAAAAGATAACAATATAGCTGAAAAGAGTATTTTCCTCTGGGGAGTGAAAAATATGTATATATTTTTTTTAACGTAAGCAGCTAGCTCATAGACTTTTTAAAACGACAAGTTTGAATTTTGAATTACATAATCATACAAGTGGAGGCCTTGAATATATCTTGGAGACCTCTCTCCCTGTCATTAACACCAAGTCTCAGAATAGTTCCACCTTCCTCTTCATTGTTACGTACAAGTGGCAGTTAGAAAAGAGGTAAAATCTTAAAATTTTTAAAAAAAATATATATTTTATTGATTTTTTACAGAGCAGAAGAGAGAGGGATAGAGAGCTAGAAACATTGATGAGAGAGAAACATGGACCAGCTGCCTCCTGCACACTCCCCACTGGGGATGTGCCCACAACCAATGTACATGCCTATGACCGGAATTGAATTTAGGACCTTCAGTCTGCAGACCGACACTCTATCCACTGAGCCAAACCAGTTTTGGTGAGGTAAAATATTTTTAAAAAATATTTTTTATTGATTTGAGAGAGGAAGGGAGGGGGAGAGAGAGAAACATCAACGATGAGAATCATTGATCGGCTGCCTCCTGCATGCTCCCCACTAGGGATCAATCCTACAATCTGGGCATGTGCCCTTGACTGTAATCAAACCTGGGACCCTTCAGTCCCCAGGCTGATGCTCTATCCACTGAGCAAAACCCACTAGGGCAAGAGAGAATCTTTTTTTTTTTTTTTTTTTTTAATATATCTTATTGATTTTTTTACAGAGAGGGAGAGAGAGGGATAGACAGTTAGAAACATCGATCAGCTGCCTCCTGCACACCCCTTCCAGGGATGTGCCCACAACCACAGTACATGCCCTTGACCGGAATCGAACCTAGGACCTTTCAGTCCACAGGCCGACGCTCTATCCACTGAGCCAAACTGTTTTCAGCAAGAGAAAATCTTTTAAAAGCTTCTCCCTCACCAGAGATTGAGCCCGCAACCTGGGCATGGGCCCTGATTGGGAATAAAACTAGCAACCTTTCAGTGCACGGGAAGGTGTCCAACTGAGCCACACCGGACAGGGCCAGAGGTAGAATCTTTTGAGCATGGGTTGATCATGTGATTTGCTTTGATCAATGGGATGTGAGCAAATGAGATATAAGCAGAGGCATGAAAAACACTGGTTCACTGGGGCCTTCCATTTTGGTGCGCTTGTCACTTAATCTCTTGAAATATGCTTTATATCTGTTAACTCTTCTAGTGTTAAGTTTTAAATTCTATTACAACTATTTCTGTAGTTTAACACAACAGAAATTAATGAGTTAATCCAAAGTAATTTTACAGAAATATGTTGTTGATTAATGTTTCCTTTCCAGTTTTATTACTATTTAACTCACTAGTCTTTGATCTTGTGTTATTGGAGGGGTGTCCCTCTGTGTCCCCACCTGTTGCCTGGGGATGTGGGCTATTTGTGATGTCATGAGAAAATGAGTGATATTTGGGAGACTTACATGGGACTTACATGGGAGAATGAGTGATATTTATTTGTGTGGGACTAACCCCCCAGGTTTCCAAGATTCCCTCTCCCTCCATCCTGCCATTGGCGAAGTCCAGCTGTGACTTTAGCAGAGCTAGGATTAAAGCCATTGCCCAGATCCTCTGTTCCATATTTGCACAGTCTGGTCCAGCATCAGGTTAGCTTAGTTTGTGTTCCCAGCTGTAGTCCATTGTGATGGGGTCCACATGGCTATGGAGGTAGCAGGGTGAGTGCAAGAAAGCAGGAGCAAAGCCAGAGGAACAAGAGAGGAGATTCCTTTGTCTAGGGATTTCAATCTAAGTTTTTGCACGCTTGTATTGGCTCCACCCCCTCTAGCCAATCCACTTCCCTACACCACCACAACTTACTGCACATGCGCTCATCTCCCATTTGCCCATTCACTTCCCCCAGGGAACTGCAGGGGATGGACCAGTTGTTCCCAGGGAGTGTAAAATTGCAGCTTCCCGGTAAAGCTTCCCAGATGGCCATGCTTATAATATCTGGCCTCCATTTTGCTCCTTTCCTATTGTTAGAAATAAGGCAAGCCCCTAAAACCAGGGGCTCTGGTAGAACACAAAGGATACTCGGGAGCCAGACAGCAAGGCAAATATGTTTACTCCTGCAGAGCCCTGAAAGCACACACACTGAGCTGGCCATTGGCTGGGCATTTTATTCTGTACTCAGCATCTGTCTCTCACTCTTGATTGGAGCTTAGTCTCACAGTCTTTCTTGATTGGCTCATTTAAACCTTTGAGGTTTCAAAATGGCAGCCCCCAGGGAAGCTGCAAGTCACATGGACCAAATTGGTGGCTGCCTAAACTGTCTTTGATGGAAAAAAATTACTTGTTTTTTTTTGGGGGGGGGGAGAAAAAAAGGAACATTTGTAATAATATGAACAACAAAAACTTATTTTAAAAAATTACTTGCTTTACCTTACACTATTAATAGCAATATGCACAACACTTAAAAAACTGTTATTTGTGCTGCTTCATCAGCACAAATACTAAAATTAGAATAGTATGGAGAAGATCAGCATGGCCTCTGAATAAGAATGACACACAAATTCATGAAGCATTTCATATTTAAAAAAAGAAAAACCCAAACAAACATAAAAAAACATTATTTATCTTTTTTATGTACAGGGATAAGCAAAAGTAGATTTACAGGTGTGAGTACACCTAACAGAGTCTATTCTTGTATTATCAGTTACTGTATTATAACTGTAGACCTATTTTTGCCTACACCTGTATATGTCCAATTCCTATCATTATACTACTATTGATTTCCCAAGGGTAGAAACTTCCTCACCTCTCAAAGTTCTCTGTACAAGATTTTGTATATAATACATAGAGTATACTGCTTTCTCCTTCTTCTTCCTCTTCCTCCTCCTCCTTTTTTTGATTAAAAACAAACAAACATCCCTGGCACTTACTTGCTGTGCAACCTTGGGCAAAAGAATGAACTTTTCTTTTTTAAAATATATTTTATTGATTTTTTACAGATAGGAAGGGAGAGGGAGAGAGAGTTAGAAACATCGATGAGAGAGAAACATCGACCAGCTGCCTCTTGCACACCCCCTACCGGGGATGTGCCCACAACCAAGGTACATGCCCTTGAACGGAATCGAACTTGGGACCTTTCAGTCCGCAGACCGACGCTCTACCACTGAGCCAAACCGGTTTCTGCAAGAATGAACTTTTCTGAAAGCTAAACTTTTCTTATTTAACAAAACCGTACTTTATAGGGTTATTTTGAATTAAATGACATAAATCAAACATTCTAGTCAGAACTACACATGAAGCAGGTATGCTCTATATAAAAACTTTTGCTATGAATAAAGCCTCATGTTAAGATTAAAAAACGCAGGTACCTTAAGACCTGGCTACTCAAAGTGTGGTGCTATGCAGATGCACTCATTGCCATTTCTGGGAGACTGCTGGAAAACTAGAACGTCAGGCCCAACCCCAGACCTATTGAAGGCGGATTTTAACAAGATTCCCAGGTGATTCATATGCATGTCAACATTTGAGAAACACTGCTTTAAAAGATAAAGTAAAGCCAAGGGATCTGTACATTGATTTGCCATAGTATTTTGGCAATTAAGCACGCATATCCAATGGGTTAGATCCTCAACTAGTCTCCGTATTTGATGGGGATTTCTGATAAAGAGCCCCCCCAAATAAAGTTTGCAACATTATACGCATCATAGTAATTCCTTCAAGGGAGTTAACAGAAAAGGCTTCTTTCTTCTTTAAACTTCAAAATGAATGAATTGATTTCTACTAAATGTCAATACAGAGGGACTTGTTGGTTTGAAACTTGTCTTGAAAGGTGTTTTTCTTTTTTCACTAGCCTCAAAATTTTTCTTTTCATCCCTAGGAGTTAAAGAACAAGGGAAAGAGTTATAAAGAATATAAGAATATAAATTATTTTATTGTTGCAAATGGCACTTGCAAATAGAAGTTGCTTAAACACATCTAGCTCTTGAATCTATAATACAATATACATTTCATTTGGCATTTATTCTAATGGGACAGGAACCAAAGGAGGATTTGATGTGGCCAGGAGGAGATAGGGGTGAAAAATTTCTTTCCCAGAAGCTTCTCCACAAAGGGAGGAAATCTGAAGATTTGAGGGCTCAACAGCGCTATTTTCACTTCCCTGTTGATTTGTGAAATAATGTTATTTGGGCTTAAGTTTTAGTTTCTTCTCCATATGTCTCACGAGTCCCTGGTTACTTTTATAAACATGAGTCAGTACAATGACATGATAAAAATAGAATCAAGGGGGTGGGGAACTAAGAAGAAACATTCCAAGGAGAATATCAATTTTTATTTTATTTTATTATTTTATTATTACTTTATTATTTTATTTTATATTTTATTTTATTATTATTTTATTTTATTTTATTTTATTATTTTTGGAAGGCCACTGACTTTATTGATTTTAAAAACTTTATATGGACAGTGACTGTTTTGCCAAAAGAGAAGCCAAATGTCATTAAACAGACCAGAGGAGAGGGTAGGGGCCAGAAATCCACTCAGAAAAGCTGGTTGTTGACCTGAAACTGGCGGGAAAGAGAAGGGAGATGCATGCAAGAGTGAGAATTCCAAAAAAGTTGAAATGGTGAGGGGAGAGAACTCCCCTGAAACCCGAAGGCCATTGGTGGTGAGCAGACAGCAATCATTTCCCTTGTAGAGGACAAGGGAGTAGCCCCCAGTCACCTGCAAACTCTGGAGACTCAAGGCTGGGGTTAGGGATTGGGGGCTCCCCAGAGAGCATCACAAGAAGGCATCACACCACTCTCCAAGGCACCACCCGAAGCAGTCCCAGGACTGCTTGGCATTGGCGCCAATGTGTCCTTTAGCCACTCCCTGGAAGAGGTCTTCGTCTTTCTTTAGCACCAGAAACTGGCCAAGGACCACGTAAGCCTTGTCAAAGCCCCTTTCCTCCAGCTTCTTGCCCAGGACTTCACCAATCCCGGCCAGGCTTTCCCCCATGGGCTCTGCCACGAAATCTTGGTGCTTTTGGGAGGTTGTCATCTTGATCAGGATTGATCGGCAGTTCCAGCTCCCATAACCGCTTCTCCCGCCGCTGGCTGCTCCCGCGGATCAGAATATCAAATTTTAAAAATCTGGAATTTTCTCTGGGGTGGTAAAAACTTGTACTTGGCTTTGGAGTATGTAATTCTTCCTTCAGAAAATCTACCCAAATTGCACAATCTGGTGGGATTAGAGCTCACAAAGATTACAGAGGTTTAATTTTTCTCTGCCCTTTTACCTTTGGGCCAAGACCTAAGAGCTAGCTAGCTGTTTGATTGGCTCTCGTGAAGTGTCCTATAAAATTCTAACCATTGCTTGGTGACAGAAACTAAAGTTTTCGTTAATAGCATGAGTATAGAGCAGTATTTAAATTGCTTGGGGCTTTTGCCCTGCAAAGCCATGGTCTTAAATTGATCAGGCTGGAGAGAAAGATGAATTTGGGGAGCCCACTATCACTTTTGGATTTGAAGTTTTACTGTTCATTTTGGTGGGTTACAGTTCAGATTATCTAAAACTGTAGAAACTACTAAGGAGAATGGAATCCATCTGATATCAAAATCCAATTTCACCATACTAATATATCTTTTTCATTTAATTCAGTCTTTTAGAGAGGCACAAATATTGTAAGAAGAGATACTAAGAGGTCCAACTTTCCCTTTGCCTGCATTCTTTTAAAAGTCTGAAAGGAAGACAAAAGAAAGGATAATAAGATAGATGGGTTTCCAGTAGGAACTGATGCCTGAAAATTGAGATTCTCCGCAGATTTGGTTGTGTCTTTGGCGTCCTGGTCTTAAAATAAATATTTGCAGAGTTCATACAAATATTCATTTGTGTGAAATGCAAAGAATAGGTAAACAACATCAGGAAATTCTCAGTTGCTCAACTAAGGAACAAAACATGTATTTTTCTCTTTGAAGAACAATTTATGATAGAGGAAGTGAAGAAGTATTTTGACTTGAGGAGGAAGTGTCTCTGTTCCCAAGCACTGACTGGGGGGAGAGGTAACTGGTTAACAGAGAAAATATGAAAACTAGGAAAGAGGAGCAGAAGTGTGTAAAAAATGGGCAAAAAGAAGCAAGAACTTGTAAGAAGACTCTGTCAAGAGTTTCCAGGGTAATCTATTTTGGATTTAATAATAAAGATTTGTATTTTGATGTTAGGGATTGTTGTTAGATTATTAAGTCAGAGAATGTCAAGTAATACCAAAAACTGACAATTAGAGAACAGAAATCAAAATAGTTCATGGGATTGTCAATTCCTCAAGTATTCAGGTACTTGCCTTGCTACCTCTGATTAATGCCAACTACAGGGTAATATTCAATAAGGATGAGCTATTCTATACACTATACATGGCCTTAAAATGAAACATATGGGATTAAATTCAATTTGCTCCCTTAATTTATGTCATATTTCAATTTTGAATTATTTTTCAATGGAAAAAATTTCAAAATGCTTCAGAAGCATTATGAATGCAGTAATCATATTATTTGATGCTGAAATGAAAATCCCTGAGGTGGAAAATGGGAGGTATTCAAGAGCAAACAGTATATATTACAATCAATTATATTCTAAGTAACAGAATCTCTAGTGCGCAACAAGCCATTACAGCTTCATAGGAAATCAGAATGTTGTAGTTAATAAAGCAATTATAATATGTCATCCTGTCCCCAAGATAAGCAGTACTGCCCTGGAGCTTACTTTATAGATTTCTTTGGTGTAAATTAGACCTACTGAAGTATAACCAAGAATCTTAAATGTCATATTAATTTTACTCTCTGGAATATATAATATGTCCCTAAACTCCTAAATGTTCAAGTTAATTTTTTATAGAATATAAACTAAAATTAATCTTCTGCAGAGGAAATGCATTAAAACTTATATATAATACTGTAATTGTGTCTGCAAGAAATATAAAAATGACTAAGATAAACTGAAAAATGAATATGGGTAAATGGAGTTGTGTCTTTAAAGATGTTACATTATACATTGCTTTGACAAAGTTTATTATTATTTTTTTTTTACCATTATGTCTGCTGTATGGGCAGTAGGGCTTTTACTTTGCTCACTTTTCCTAGAGGTACAGATCAAATTCAGTTATAAACTACTCTGATCTGTTAAGTCAACTTGGCAAGTATTAGCGATTAATTGTTTGCAGAGATCAGAGATAAGGTGAAAACAGAGTCAACATACTAATCTTGGGTAATGCTATAAAGATAAGTAAGCATGCAAATTGTGGGGTCAAAGATTACATTTTTTTGTTAAAAATATATTTTATTGATTTTACACAGAGAGGAATTGAGAGGGATAGAGAGTTAGAAACATCAATGAGAGAGAAACATTGACCAGCTGTCTCTTGCACATCCCCCACTGGGGATGTGCCCACAACCAAGGTAGGTGCCCTTGACCAGAATTGAACCCGAGACCTTTCAGTCTGCAGGCCGACACTCTATCCACTGAGCCAAACCGGTTTCAGCAAAGATTACATTTTAAAAAAGAAATTATGTGAGCTTGTATATGTGTAGCAGTCAAATATCCACTAATGAGAATCTGGAGATAATAGGAGAGAGATGCCAGTACTGGAGGTACCAATTCACAGGTGATCCAAATAAGATAATGGAATATATGGTAAATGATGATTTTACTATTAAGCTACCAGGGGGAAAGCAAGAATTTCAGTTCTAGGAAATAGAAAGTTGATAGGGGACCATTTAAAAAGCTTAGAAAGTAGAAAGTGAGGAGGCAGGAGATTAACTAGCAGTGTACAATGACACAAAATCCACTGGGTGGTACCATGTTTCCCCGAAAATAAAACATCCTCCAAAAATAAGACCTACTTACAGGTTTCCTTCTGAGTGAAATATAAGGCATCCCCCTGAAAATAAGGCCCCACTAGGCTCTGTCTCAGAATGAAAATTAATTTACCGTAAACTGGTCACTAGGGCCGCCCTGACTGGCGTCTAGCAACCAGTGATGTTACGAGAAGTCCTGACGTCACTGCTGTGTGGAGGCGGAGTGGAGGTCAGAGTGAGAGGTCCGGTGGGAGAGAGGAGGAGACTTTCGCAGATGCGCAGATGCGTGTAGAAGAACAGGAGGATTAGAGCAGAAGGGACGCGGCAAAGGTGGTGAGTGCTGGTCTGTCTCTGATGACACTACCTGATGCTCGCGGCTGCCCTCATGATGACTGAAGGTTCTCAGTCAGTGGCAGACCCTGCTCCAGCCCAGATCCAGGCCCCAGCAAGCCCAGTGCCAGTCCCCAGGCATGCCCCAGGGGGTAAATGTCTGATAAAGGGGTAGGGAGGATGTCTGGGGAAGGTATTCAGTGGCACAGGGGTGGGGGGGGGATCACTTAAAATGACACAGGAGGATCAGAGGGGGCAATCAAAATGACACAGGAGGATCAAAAGGGGTTACTAAAATGGTAATCCCCCCTCTGATTCTCCTGTGCCATTTTGATTCCCCCCTCTAATCCCCCCTGTGTCATTTTAAGTAATCCCCCTCCCCCCACCTTGATACCCCAATTCCTTATTTTTTTTTTGTCCCTAGAAATGAGTGCAAAAAGAAAAAGCTACTCCATGGAGTACAAGAAAGGAATCGTGGAAGATTGTTGGGGCCAAAATCTTACTGCTTTCTGCAAAGAGAAGATGTTGAGTATACGATTGGTCAGAAAATGGTGAGCAGAGTATGGTAACCTCACTGAACAAGTGGACAAGGGAAATGCTAAAAAGCGCAAGTGTGGATCAGGTCGGCAACCATTATTTTCCAAGCTGAAAGACCTGATCTGTGAATGGGTTGTTGACAGGAGAGCAAAGGCTTTGGTTGTGAATAAGGCTCAGATTCAAGAATTTGCCCTTGCAATGGCACCACAGTTTGACATAGCCCCCGAAGACTTCAAAGCATCACAACACTGGCTGGATAATTTCCTTCAGCGAAGTGAACTGTCTTTAAGAAGATCTACAACATTGTTTAGGTTGGAAGATACTCAAGTTATTAAGCGAGCACTTGCATTCAAGTCCTTTATTGATGATGCTAACTTCTCTAAATACAATCTTTCCAACATGATTACTATGGCTGAAACTGCAGTGTTTATGGGCCAATCATCTCAAACAACAATTGAACAGTGGGGTGCTTCCTTAGTATACATTCCCTCCACTGCTTAGGAAAGTGCACATGTTTCCTGTACTTTGGCAATTCGTCTGGATGGCAGTAAAATCCCACCTTTAATCATTTCTAAGGGCAAGAAGGAAAAGAATGAACATGTTTTGGGCGTTTTTATTCTTGAAACTGAAAAAGCCTGGGCCACACAAGCAGTTATAAGGAAGTGGATCGATTTAATGCTGCCGCTTGTTATGCGAGGGAGCCAAAGAGGTCTGCTAGTCTGGGATGCAGCCAGCACTCACCCCACTAAAGACATGAAGACATTTTTCGTGAAAGGAAAATAGCTCAGATAATGATTCTCGCAGGAATGACAGCCTATCTCCAGACTCTTGATATTGCAATAAACAAGCCATTCAAAGACAATTTGCGTATGGAAATTAATGACTACATTGAAAATAGAATGGAGAGAAATCAGCGTGGAAACTTTGTGAAACCTAAACTGCAAGAAATTGTGACTTGGGTAAAGAATTCATGGGAGAAAAATCACTGACAGTTGCATTACAAATGCACTGCAAGCAGGCTACCTTGACAAGAAGTACTCATTAAAAGACAGTGCTATTGCTAAACATGAGAGATTTGGTCCACTGATTCTGAAAGAAATGGAGTCACAAGAAATTCACCAGGAAATTCAGGAATTGGATTGTTATGATGATGTTCCAGAAGATGATGACATGATTGTCATTGAATAAATGAGTAAATTCTTGAAACTGTAGGATTCACAGTTTGTCTGGTTTGTGTTGACAACTACCGTACTACCGTACCGTATACAGGTAATAAATTTCCTTTATTTTCATTTAACAATAAATGTGTACCGTATTCTTCTTCATGGAAAAATAAGACATCCCCTGAAAATAAGACCTAGTGCATCTTTGGGAGCAAAAATTAATATAAGACACTGTCTTATTTTCAGGGAAACAGAG